TTAAATAAATAAAAATAAATTATGTACGCCGTATTAATTTCGGAAACCGTGACGTGACTGACATTATAATTTGATCGACTGGATTCGTGTGCTATTCTTAGAGACGACAAATAAACGCGAGGAAATGCGGTAGCGACGAATACAAATTATTCGTAATCACTCTCGTACAACGTGTGTTAAACGCCACTTATTGCTTAAATCGATACAGCTCTTAGAGTGGTATTGCTATGCAATTTCTGACCAAGATTTTTTCATCGACCTTACTTGTTTTTTATTGATTTTTGATGTTCTACGTTTAAATTGCAATAACGCAGAGCAATGACGACCGTCAGTGAAGATGAACCGCTAACAATCCTGTTCACGAATGCGGAAAATCGCTTGAAAACATCGTTTCTAATGGATGATGATTTGTTCACACCGAGCCTGCTGCTGTGCGTCCGGTGCACGTATAGTGATCCTATTTTAGGTGGAAACTGTTTGCAAATCGTGTATTGTAAGACCGATTTTCGGTACAACGCGCGTAGCGCAACGCAAACGAAAATGGAATACTGCGGGCGCAGCGTTACGGCTCGACCGAACGGTAAAGACTTTTCAAAGATTGATGTTTTTGAACACGCGAAATTGGCGCGGCGTTAGGTTGTCACGTTGTTTGCTTAAAACATTGCGATCCGACGCGCGTTCGGTGTCGGATGCCGTAAGTGGTAAAGGCAATCTTACCTCATGTACCTACATACATTAATGATTAAATTACGACTTATTTCTTGGCTAATGCGTTTCGTGTCGGACATGCTAATTTATTTTATCGAAACTGCATTAACGTTCATCAGTAGCCCATCAAAAGTGTACACGTTTGCAAATAATAATCGTAGGTGTAATTAAAAAGATTATGAACACAACGGGACTGGACGTATGAGTACTATAGTTTATCATTGCTTAAAGATGGTAATCGTTATGGATGGTTTATAGTCGTTTACATAACGGTACAAACTGCAGTATGACTCCACGAGTTCACACATTATTCATTTATTTATTAGTTTTAATTTTCACGGTACAAAAACCAAATAACCTTTTTCATTGCTACTAAATAAATCGTTATATATACACAGTAGAAACTGTTTGTAATCACATTTAAAAGACTAATCAAAAATGATCATAACAATCGACAGTTATTACAACAAAATTGTTAAAAAAGATGTATATAAAACTTGATCACACGATTATCCGAACATAGCGTATATGTGGTGTTAGTACATTTATACGTTATATATTACAAAAAATAACAATTAATTTGCATGGATTATTAAAAATAATCAATAGTATTAGCTCGTACTCCGTTTGTATGAAAATCATACTATATTTTTTTTCTCTATGTTTTCAATATTTATTTTCGCATTTACGTTATTCAAAGCCATGTAATGTATTAGGAAAATTATGAAAAAACTAAACAATCAGGGCGATAACGCACTAGGAAGCCAGGCTATGGCAGCTGAAATATTGAGTATCCAGTTTTCATCAGCAGCCAACCGACGCGCGACGGTCGTCGGGTCGCCAGTCGTTCATCGTAGCAATTCGTACAATCGATCGAAATGGACGTAGAAGAAGCTGTCACTGTTTTGAGACCTTTCGCCTCGTAATAAGCGAAAAACAAAACATAAAATACCGGATCCATCTACTGTTTTTGAAACGACACAAACGGCTTCTTTCCTCCCGTCCCCTTGCATTTAAATCACGATCACTTTGTTCTCCAGTAGATATGTTCCGAATTGCTTTTCGACTTTTGATTTACCGAATCAAAAGTATCGAAAGTAATCAAGATATTTTCATCGAAAAACATTGGTGACCATACGGAGGGAGACGTGAAAAACGCAAAACTCGTCTGGCTGCGTCGACTAGTACGTGGAGACTCGCGGAAGTCACACATATGTCTTGCTCTCCTGTGGCGTGGTGCACATAGGTCCCAAACGGGCAATTGACCTCGTCCAATTTTGGGGGAGGTAAAATTATCTCTATTTTGAAAGTTACATTTTGTAATTTTTGTATTATGATTCATTGATACAATTAGATAACTAAAATTGTGTAAATACTAAAAAAAATGTTAGCACTTGATAATAGTTTTTTTTTTTAGAGATGGGGGGGTCTAAAAATATGTATTGTGCCTCAGTTAATATACCACTTGCCTCGCCACTGGTTGTTTCCCGTGCAATAGTGCATGCTCTATTGATCACCGCCGCCTGGAACCCGTCATAAGATCCGTGTAGCCGTTATGTGAACGTTCTGATTACTGGTACTTATCGGTACATACAATATACAAGTTTAGCCATTTTAGCAGCCATTTTAACCTACAGTTTTAGTTCTTTAAATCCTATTTGCTATTATAAACAGATTCTACTGGACGACTGTACATAGTTTATGTTTAATCAAATTTGTCCAATACGTACATTCACATGCATAATGCATAGAAATGTATTCTATTAATATTTTAAATGATATATTTCTCCGTTAAGGATTTAATATTCAACACATTTCGCTATGCTTTATGTAACAAAACGTGCGGTCCAGTTTGAAATATTTTAGAGTAGAAATGTATTTAAAGTTTCAAATTATAAAAGTTTAGAAATATCGCATATATACTATTAAAGCGATTGAACTTTGAACAATAGGTAGTTGTAAACAAATTTATAAAAAAACAAATAATATATTGTATTTTTCTTTGTACTACGATTGCTTTACATTGTTAAGTACTTTATTGTTCTTAAAGGATTGTTTGATTCGATTTTTTTTTTTTCGTGCACGATCAAAATGTTTTTGTCTTATAAATATATTACAGTTAATAAAATAAGTTTAACAGAATTACAAATATTCAGTATACCTACAAGCTTTGAACTCGTATTGCTCCATTATATAAAATTGGTTATATTTATTACATTGAGTTTCATCACGATTTTGAAATTTTTAATCGTTGTATTAAACACGTGCCATATAGTAAAAATAATAGCCGTATTCCTGGATGACAAAAATTAATATATTAACATGTCACTTTCATACCACTTCGTATAAAGAATGCCCAGTCTACAAAAAACACACCGCTTCTTTCCAAAAAGGAGGAAGACATTCAACCTCCTTTTCTAGGCCTACTAAACCCATGCAGTCTGAGAACCCCTGCAGTTCCAACTAAACTCGTACTTACGCTAATGTGCCATAACCAATCAACCACCAGCCGAATTATCGGTTAATTTAAATACACGTATTAGTGAAATCTCAAATATTTTGTTTCCGTTAATTAAGTTATTAATGGCTGTTTTAAACAATTTAAATTTAATCTTATCTACTCTCTAATCATTATAATTATTATAGATTATTTTGTTCATTAATTTCATATTATTATTATTATTATTATTTGTATCAACAGTATATGTAGTTCTTCTGTTTTTTTTATTGTTACATTTAAATATTTCACTATTTATTCGTTTAGCTATATATATATATTATCATGTATCAATCTGTAATTGTTAAACTATAATAGTTTATACTGAGAGTTCTTAATAAAAATAAAAATAAATATCACTTAAATTCGAAAAATTAGTCAGTATACTACAATGAGACAATAATTTATGTCAACATTAAGCATTTTAAATAGGTATGCAAAACTTCTTAAACAACTACCGTGTAAAGTTGCGTACAACTTGTCTGTAATGGATTTCCAACTGATTTCAACTGTGATCAAAATATATGGCATTAACTCGACACATAAGCTAATAAAATATATTTATGATTTATTCTAATCTAAATATGTTGATTTCATGTTCATAGTTATATTTTTATGAACAAAAGTAATCTTTATATAGCTAAATATACTTATTTTAACTATTATAGTGCACCTACACAAAATAATGAGATGATAGTATAAATAAAACAACCTCCAAAATGTATTCGAAAATAATTAGATGCCACAAAATGAAGGTTTACCATTAAAATAGACCATATTGGTTGTTCTAGATATATTTTCTGTTCAAAATATTTTTATATAATTATGTTGTTTTTTTATTTATTATTAATATTTGTTTTATTGAAATAATATTTAATTATATAAATTAAAGTTCAGATCTTAATAAATAATCACATAATATTTTATTAAAACTTCGGCTGAAGGTTTAAGATATTATTTTTTTTTTCAAAAAAGGAAAATATGTATGGTAAGAAAAAGAAAAAAATATATTTAATATAATAATAGCTTTTAGTATAACTATTACAGCTTAAAAATTATTTAGAATAATATAACAGATAACAAAACAATATTAAAATACATGCAAAGAGTTAAAAACAAAAAATGTCTTAAGGGTAATCATATAGAGAAACCAGCCTCCAAAATAAAATTAATAATTATATCAACAACTATTTCCGAGTTGGGGTTGAGGATAAAAGCTAGATTGAGAGGAACATTGATTTATATAAGAGAATTAAACAAAATAACGCTTTTCACGTGCAGAGAAGGACAGTCAAAAAGGAGGTGAGGGAGATCGCAAACACTTTCGTGGGAATGTAGAGTACAAAATAGGGAATCGTTTAATCCTAATTTGTATGCGTGAGCAGGTAGTAAAGTGTGACCAGAACGTAGGCGATTGAATTGTATGATACTTGATCTTGGTAAATTGAGGTTGTAAAACCATGTTTTGTTGAGAACATTTGGTACGATGTTTTTGTATCTGGTGGCAAACTCAGCTGGGAGGTTTGACCAGTATGTATGTCAGAGGTTAGATATATGACGCCGTAAAATTGGAATAAAATCAGTACGAGGAAGTTGGGTGAAAGAGGGACATATTAAATTAAACGTTGATTTCGCCAGATTGTCGGCGAATTCGTTCCCGTGTATACCGATATGACTTGGAACCCAAAGAAATTGGATGGAATAATTGTCTTAATGGAGTTAACATATATAACATAACATATGTATAATAATATATAACATTAATTGTTTAATTCGATTTTGATTTTTTTTTCAGGGTTCTTTATTAACAAGAAACGTTGTTTGGGTTCATAATGGAATTCCAATTTATAATATTCCGAACAACAAGAAAGACGATCCGGGTCCCATTTCGGTGACTACTGAAGTCATACAACCCGACAATACCATACAGAGTAGGTTGTTTATTCGAGGGGCATCTCCGTCGGCGTTGGGAAATTACACATGCACGGCACCTAACACTGAACCCGACACGGTTAATGTCTACGTAAGCGAAGGTAGTTCTATTTTTTTTTGCAAATTAAAAATTTGTTAAAAATAAGTATTTTGTTACCATCGTCGATACGACATTGAATATACATTGAATATAAATATATATATATCAGTACGTGTTTGGACACCGTAGACACCACACGTGTAATACCGCGTTCCATTTTATCGCTTCCGATAGCAAGTCATTGGTGTACAGTGATTATCCGGTCCGATTAGACGATTGGTAATGTATATTTTTACTTTGTAATGTCGTCGTTATTATATAGTCTTATCGTACGGCGTACGCAAAAACTCGCCACTATGGCCGATAAGGCCCACAAACACATGTTCTTAAAACGTTCAAATACAAATTTATCTTATAGACTAAATACAATTACTACTAAACCAAACTCATGTAATTCCAAATTATCTATCCAACCAAAAAATACCTCAAAAAATCAAACCAACACACCATCCCAAACCACACCTAACTCCAATATGCAAACTTCAAACGCAATTACATCAAAAAACACTAATAATCAAGACAACGACCCCACAAAAAAAAAACATTCGCTGAAACCACCGCCAATTTCACTTTTCCAAAAAAAGACCAAGCGATAGTTTTTAATACTATTGATGGCACACCACAAATTGATTATATAAATGCTCTAAGCATAATCACTAATCCAATAAACATAAAATTTGCATCTAGAATATCCAATAATCGTTTTTGCATTTATCTCGCCAGCAAAGAAATTGTTGATGAAATAATAAACAATTGTCCTACGATTACAGTTAATAATCATACATACCTATCCGCAAACTTGAAAACCAATCAAAGCGAATAATCTTCTCAAATGTTTCACCCATCATACCACATCTATATATTATCGACGCATTGAACACTATAGGAATTAACCCTATCATACCAATAACTTTCCTTAAAGCAGGTTTTATATTCGAAAATCTATCCCATATTATCAGTTTGAAAAGGCAAACATATGTTAAACAAGAAGATATTTCAAAACTACTTAACTCTATAATAATAAATTTTGACAACACCGAGTACCGTATCTTTTTGACCGATGATACGTTAACATGCTACTTATGTAAACGTACCGGACATACTTCTTCGTATTGCAAAAACACGATAGCACAAAACCAAATTTTATCAGAAGATGATAAAGAGAAAACTTTCCGTCAACCTGAAACGCAAACTGATAATACAGATATAAGTAATAATACCTTTGAAAATCTCGACTCTTCTCATTCACCTCAATACCCTGATTAAAACAAGAAAGAAAACCCCATCAACACGAGACCGACTCCCAGTAATATACTTTCACACACTGCCGAATCCATACAACTCTCATCTACTATAACTACTACTCAAAATGAAACTCCTAAAAGACCACTTTCTGATTCTTCCTCTTTAAAATATCCCAATATTCTTCCTTCTGCGTCAAACATCAGTCCTATAGAAAATGTCACAAAGAAAACTAAAATGCGTTCCCGCTCAAACTCATCATGCAAATCCAACACAAAAACGGAGAAAAAACATAACCCAATTGAGTTGCTGTTTAAAATTAAACCTTACCAATATCATATCTTCAATTTAAATACATCTTGGATAATTTTACAAATATACTATTAACATCCACTCACTGTGCGAAGATACAAATATTGATATATCTTCTCTAATGGATTTAATAGACGAAATTCGACCAATAGCAAAGTGACAAAGCATTAAAAACACGTCTAACAAAATTTTCAAACCTTATCTTTCAAACACTACCAACCAAAAAAAAATCGTTCAAATCACTTTAATATACTATTATATACATTTAACTTATTCATAATCCTATTCTACAAAATATCTTTTTCAAACTAACATGGGCTCGATCATTCAGTGGAATATAAATGGCCTTCAAAAACACCATCCCGATATTCACCGAGTCAAATTGCTTATACAACCCATAGCCTTTTGTTTTCAAGAAACCAACCTCAAACCCAATGCTACCTCTTCCATACGGGGTTACAAAAGCTACCTTAAAAATCACCAGACAAATTTTAGAGCAAGTGGTGATATCGAAATATTTGTAAATAACCTCATTGACAGCAACAAAATTAAAATCCAATCACCACTCGAAGTTATTGCTGTTTCCATACAACTCAAAAATCCTGTTTGTCGTTGTAATATTTATCTACCCGACAGCACTAATTTATTACTCAATGATCTCAACCATATTATTAAACAACTACCAAAACCTTTCTTATTTCTCGGAGATTTCAATAGCCGAAACCAAATCTGGAGATCTAACAACACTAGAGGTAAAACGATCGAAAAATTTGTAGAAAATGAACAAATAACGCTACTCAACACTGGTGAATATCCATGCCACAATGCAGCTCATAACTCCTTCTCGGTTATTGACCTCACAATATCTAATAGTGCTTTCGCCCCCAAAACCGAATGGAAAGTTCTTACAGAATACAGCTCCAGTGACCATTGGCCAATATCTATTAATATCCTAAATGAATCGCCCAAGATACACCCAACCTCCCGGTAGCGACTCAATAATTCAAATTGGGACCTATACAGCGATACCATATTACAAAATCTTCGTGACATGCCGATCAACCTAGTATCCATAACGAACCATTGCTCAAACTACAATCCCGAGGCTATAAACTTCAAAAATACTGCTGAAGATATTTTCAGAAATGAACTTTAAATTAATATCCAACATCAAGATAACCACCTAAATACACCTTTTAGCAAAAAAGAACTCCTAAATGCCTTATCAGAATGTAAAAGTAAAAGCCCCGGCCAAAACGGGATTCTTTTTTTTTAAAATATAGTATGTAAAACCTGTATCCAAAACCTGCCTTCAATAGGTCATGATCTTCTTCTCCAAATTTTCAACATTATTTGGGAAAAATGCCTATATCCTGATCTGTTATACAATGCGATCATAATCCTAATTCCTAAACCTAAAAAAAAAACAATTTTTATATTATCAATTATAGATCTCTTATTAATACGATAACTAAAATAATGGAAAAAATTGTCAATAAACGACTAATCTGGCACTTAGAAATATCTTATTTACTAACCAAGGAACAATGTAGCTTCCGCAAAAACTACTCTACCATTAACGCATTCTCCACTCTCGATATTTGTAATGCGAAAAATCAAAAACAACATCTTATACTTTTATCCCTGGATTTAGAAAAAGCATATGATATGGTATGGAGAACTACAGTCCTCAAACTCATATAAAATAGTGGCATAAACGGTAAAATGTTCCTAGTCCTGCAAAATTTCCTAAAAACCCGAACAATTCAAGTCATAGCTCACGCAGAACTATCAAATATTCACCAAACAAAAAACGGACTCCCTCAAGGATCAGTTATTAGTGTCACAATGTTTTTATTGGCCATCAATGATATTTTCACCAATATACCTAAACCCACGAAACACTTCCTATTCGTCGACGACTTTCATATATACTGCAGTGAACAAAACACCAAAACGACTGTAAAAATATTACAAAATTCTCTATATACTCTCAAAAAATACAAAGAATTTATGTGGGTACCATAACACGTTGATATAACTGGCAACAAAATGGCTGACAAGGCAGCTGATCTTGCAACCAGAATCATTCCCTACCACAAAATCTCCAACTTACCTACTAATAACATCAAATCTTCCATCAAATCCAAGATATACACTAAGTGGCAAAATTATTGGGATGCGATTTCACCGACCAATAAACTTAAAAAAATGAAGAAAGATACAAAAAAATGGGTCTCCCCTCACTACCTCACCAGTCGACAAGAAATTGCTATCATCAGATGTAGGATCGGACACACCTTTGCAACCCATTCATTCCTCATCAGCAAAAATCTCCCACCCATTTGTGACAAATGCCACACCGATCTTTCAGTCCACCACATCATCCAAGTTTATATGAAGTATCGGGACATAAGAACCAAACTCGCTATACCACCGAACAATGAAACCCTCAATGAAAAGAACACCAGTAAAATTATTTCATTTCTAACCAAAATCGATTACATTAACAAACTCTAATATTGTAAAAACTTTCTTTAGTCTCTAAGTTACAATACCTATAATTTATTATTTAATCTAATTAATTTATTTTCCTTTTTTCATTTATTCTAGCATTTGTATCTAAATTAATTTAGGCTAATAACCTACGATGTTGAAGCCTATTTCTAATAAAAAAAAAAATATATATATATATATATATTTGTATGTATACATAAAATATCTCACAGATAATATAGTTAATGATGCATATGTTAAAATGATAATTTCTTTTCGACACACACACACATACAAATATGTTTTAATTAGTATTAGTATTAAATTAAAGTGCGACTTTAAAACGGGTTTTCAATAATATTCAGTTTGGATTTTAGTTTTTTATTCAAAATTTTAAAAAATCATGAGAATGTAATTTTCAATGATAATAAAAGCATGACTAAGTATCATTTAAACTAAGATTTTTCTCTTTTGTGTTATTTTTTTTTTTTTTTTTGTTTTGAAAAAACTAAAAGATTTATTAGTTATTCCTTTTATAAAACAATATCGTTTATTAAAAACATATAGTAATATTTATTATATATATTTTGTAGTAAATCGCCTTCATTTTTTATACACTTTTTTTAATATTTTATATTCCGGGTTTGAATAAAGTTCGCTTTATCGATAAGTTAATCTGAATGATTTTGCTGGGTATATTTTTTCTTTTCTGACTTTGTACAAAATTAATCTCGATGAAAATGTTTATTAAATACCGTAGTTTGATTATAGTCATGTTATTAAATTCTAAAACAAATCTTGAGTAATTAATTTTATAAGATTTTTATTCCTACAAAAGAAACTTATAATAACTTTGTATAGTTTAATATACAATTGGAATATTATATATCGGAAAATTGTTCATTTTCGAAGAAAAAGTCATCGTATTATAACTTGATTATAACGCTTTCC